TGATAAAAATACTCCTGATTGTGCAACTCGAGGGAGGGGGATGCAGCGTTTGGACTGAGAATTCAAGCACCAGCGAGGAATTCTGAAGTTGGGGTGTTAACAATGGCCGTGGCTTCATCTCTTTGGGGAAGTGGAGCAAAGAACGGAGTTAAAACAGAAATTTACCCATGCCAGACTTGCTGTGGAGCCCCTTGCTCTGCCCTTTCAAATGTGTATTTCTGAGAAAGTCCTGTAAAGGTACTTGGCATGACAACACGGATCACTGTGAGGGAGGCAAAAAGGAGCCTGCTGTCCAGGAAGCAGGGAGCAGAGAGGCCTAGGCTGTTCCTCTCATCAGCCCTGCAGAGTCTGGCTGGGGCCCTAAGAGAAGGGCTGTTTCCTTCTGGGCTTTCTTTCCAGTGCAAACAACTGTACTTCCCCAGTGTGGGAGTGTGAGGGAAGCCAACGTGACAGAGAGGGCTCCAGGCTGGCCACTGCGCTGCCAGGAGAGACCCCTTGAAGCAGGGTTACCCAATACTGCCCTTCGTGCGAGCGGCACCAGCCACAGCCCAGCTGTTTCCCCCAGATGGAAACTCACCTTCCTTCACCCCAATTCACTGGTAGGTTGGATGCAAACGAGATATTTTCTTCTTCTAATTAATCTTCATGGACCTCATAGGCTGAGCAAAACAAAACACAATTTTCTCGAAAGGATGACTCCCTGACCAGGTTACAAGGTATTCAAGATGGGAATTAGAGGCAGCAAAGTCACCCCAATCAAAGGCCAAACAGACAGGTGCAGAGACACTCATAAGAGCACGGAGAAATCTATGTATATGTGTGTGTGTGTATGTTGGGGAGGTGTTGCAAATGAGAATGTTACAGCAGAGGAATTCGTGGTACAGAATCTTAATTGTCCAGGAAATTAAGGCAAAAAAATTTTTTTTACAGGTCTTGAAAGTTGCTGGTGTGATTCTAGAAGACTGAGAATCTCAGCAGTGATGGTGAGTTCACTTTTTAGAGGTGCCTCAACTACAAAGTGCTTCTCCCAGAGTCAGGAACTTTTCCCCTCTAACATAAGTGTGCACACATGCATGTGCCCTGTCCCCCTCTGGGAGGGCACAACTCAGAGTGCTCCCTAAGGGTCCCCAGCCTCAGGTGGTAAGTCACTTGCTGAGGGAGGAGGTGGTCCTAGAATACTGATGCAGGTTCCCAGCATCTGAGCAACAGTTTAGAGAAATACAGGCCAGGTATGGTGGCTCATGCCTGTAGTGCCAGCATTTTGGGAGGCCAAGGTGGGAAGAGGATCACTTGAGGCCAGGAGCTCAAGGCTGCAGTGAGCTATGATCTTGCCACCACATTCCAGCCTGTGTGACAGAAGGAGATCCTGTGTCAAAAAAAAAAAAAAAAAAGAAAGACAAGAAAACCTCTACACACAATTCACCTGACCACACTGTGCACTGTAGAGAGACCAGACTCCGTAGTTCACGCTGACCAGGTGACCTCAGAGAGGATGCCCAGGAACTTTTCCCTCCTCAAATCCCTACAGATGTTGGCAGGCACAGTCTTTAAGCCAGGCTGTCCTCATGCGGCACAAAGGAGCTGCTTCCCATCCTTCCCAAACTCACCCGAGCAGGCAGTGGGAAGGGAGGCGCCAGCAAGCTGAAGGAGGCTTTTCTCAACTGATCATCTTGGGAAAAGCCAGATACAAATTTCATGGCTGGAATGCAAGGGTTGTGAAATGCTGAAGAAGCCCTGAAGAGGGCCAAGGACTCTCCTTCTGGGAAGGCAGTGGGAGGAGGGCTGGCAACGAAGAGTAGGAGAGGAGCAGGTTACCCAGGGGGCCTGCCTTTCTGGAAAGGAAGAAATAGACCCTCGAAATGGAAAGAAATCCCCTTGCCCTGAGGTGGCAGAGGGGCCAGAGACAGGGTTGTTTTAGTTTCTGTACATGAAGAAAATAAGGCCTTGTGTCACAAAATAATTTTGGTATAAATGAGCCAATTATGACATAGCTTGTTATTTCTGGGATTTGGAATCACCGAGGCTCATGGCATCTCCTAGGAGTTATTTAACTCCCCTACAGTTTAGTTAAATAAGCCCAATAGGCTTCTAACATGAGGCTTTGGCTTTGTCCTTGGTGCCATGTGAGAGGTCCCGATTCATGCTGCAACTAGTTAGATGAATTCTACCAGTAAGGGTCATTATTTTCTCGGAAACACAGTCTGATGTGTCCCCCATGGGGTCCCTGAGAATAGGGTAAGGAAGATTACATCCATTTTAATGGCTGATAGATGGCTGTAAGTAAGCGCAACCCCTTTCTAACCTTGGACAAGATACTTATTAGCCTCTCTGTACCTCACCCATTAAAGGGGGATATGTAAGATTATCGACCACAGGATGGCTATGAGGATGAGATAAATGAATGGCAGCAGATAGTAACTGGCACATTACCTAGCACAGAATAAGCACTAATAATGTTTTAGCTGCTGCTGAAGTGTGAAAAGAGCAAGTGCTTGATGCCCCCAAGTAGGCCGGCACCCAGCTGCTAATGCCCAGGCTTGATCAGCTGCTCTGAGCCTCTGATCTAGCTCTGTATCTTCCTCAGACCACAGACAAACCCAGGAAGACCCATGCATAAGAGTTTCCTGGCCCAGAAGTCCTGACTAAGGGGAAATCAGACCAGCAGACAAAATACGGCCCACGCTGGCTGCCCCCGCACAGGGAGCGGAGCAAACAGTGGTGCCAGCACATTTTGGGTCAGCTTTCTCAGTTGCAATCCATGTGGTGTATCTGAAATGGGGTCAGGTCCCAGAGTGGGCAGCACAGATACTAACATCACGCTCACTGAACTGAACTGAGTCCATCATCATCGATCCTGAGATAACAGGAAGCTTGAGTCTGACAGGCTTGAGGGGTGTGTTGGAGAATGTTCTTGGCAAAGGAGGAGGAGAAACCATTTCTCAACCAATTGCTAACAAATTGGTAACCAGCACTGACAGCCTCAGAGGAAACATTCTAATCCCCTCACACTGCAGATCCTGGTGCTTCAGAGACCTGACTGGGCACTAAACCTTCAGGAAGGGGAGACAAACCCGGCACCTCAAATCTTTTCCCACCCATCTCTCTGTATCTCAGCCAACTCAAGCCAAAGGGTAGAAGCCACAACCTCTCTGCCTTATGTCTATAGAGACCCCCTGGACCAGAACCAATACCCTACTGCCCAGTTAGGGTGTAGGCTGAGTCTGGGCTTATGTGTATATCTAGGAGGCCAGAGCCTTGTGCCCCCTTGCAATGTCCAGGGGTGCAGTAGCTGGAAGTGCTCCCAAGCCAGAGAGTGAGATCTCAGGCCTGTTCCAGATACACAAGAGGGGCAAGAAGGTTGTATCTCTGCAGGAGCTTGTGCCCTTCTGCCTAGAAACCCCAGGCTTCCAGAGGCAGAGAGCCATCTGGACTGAGACTATCTCCATGTTATAGGCCTTCCAGTACCTTTGGCCTCCCAACAGTGCCAAGGAGGCCCAAAGCGAGAAGCCAAGCTCAGGGAATGGGAAGGAGTGTAGACCTGGGACAGGGTCCAGACTCACAGGTAGAGAGCTTCCATATGTCGTATGACCTTGGTGTGGCCATCTGCTGCTGCCAGGGGATGATCAGGATGCCTCGAGCCAGCTACTTCAGGGCAGCTGGCTGGAGAAACCCACAGGCCGGAGTTAAAAGCTGCTCTGAGGTGGCGGTAGAGGCTTCTCCAGGCTTTTGCCAAAGAGCTCAACTCTCAGCACAGCCCTGTTCCCAGAGTAACTCTAGTCCAGTCAGGTCTCAGGAGGCAGCCTGAACTTTAACCAGCCAGGCCTCCCCTGTGCTATATCCTCTTGAGTTCCTTCCCCTGCTTATTAAAATTCTAAGGCGTCCTGAAGGTCAATGCCATGTTCTTCCTCCTCCAAGATGCCCTCCCTAACTACCCCAGATCCTGTGGACCTGTCTTTTTTGTAGCGCACTGAAGTGTTACTATTTCTGGGAACCATGATCAGCAACTAAAGCTAGAATCCAGAGAAGCAGCCATTTCCAACAAATCACATCGACAGCCAGACACACACTATTAAAAGGTAATTGTTTCACTCATGTTCTCCCAAAGGAAGAGCCTGTGCACCTAAGATGGCCCCCTGGGCCCAAGCTTGTCAGACAGCAAATGTGTAATAAAGACTTCGTAGAAGAAGGCTAGATCACCCTGGTCTTGCAGGATGATTGACCTCCCTTTCAGCCCAAGGCACAGCAATTTCCTCCCTGGCAGGCAAGGTTCCTGCTTTGGGCTGCCAGCCCCCTAGTATCTCCTGCCAGCAGCTATTCCCTAGAGCTGCCCTGGGACTAAGGGCAGAGGAGGGTGCCCAGTTCCAGCCCTGCCCATCACTCATCCCCTCTATCAGAGGAAGAGAGGTTGGCAGGAAGCGGATCTGACCTCTGGGGTGGCCACAGTCTCTCCCGAGGGCTACAGGGGCCCCTGGACAGGCAGCAGAGGCCTGCAAAAGACTTCCTTTCCCTTCCCTGGGCCCCAGGGAAGAGAGGCAGGAAGAAGGGCCTCAGCCGCAGGCATCCAGCATGGGGCTGGCCAGAGAGGGAGGCCCCCAGGGTTGCAGCTATCAGCCGGAGACCAGGCTCCAGGAAGGAAGGAAGGGCAACTCTGGCCGAGACCGAGATAAGGAGGGAACCGTGCTCAGCACAATGGGCTCCCACAAGGCTGGGAGGCCCCAAGTCAGATTTTGCCCCAACCTGGCCTCCTGTCTGTTCACACGGCTCATGTAAATATTTACTGATGTTTATATTCACGGTCTGCTGGGTCCCCTCTGAGGCCCTCTCCTATGACCCACAGATAGATCTGTGTGCCCCAGACCATGCCTGCCCTTAAGCCTAGAGATCCTGGGCCCATCCAGCAAGGGCTATGTGCATTGTTCTCTCTCATGCAATCCACAGGGACAGGCCCTTCAGGACAAAATCATCCTCTTGTTCCAGTCCATGGACACTGGGGAACTTACGGGGCCCGGTCGTGGGCGAGGCCATTCTGCCGCTGAGGGTTGATTGGCGGAAGGACAGGTTTGCTGTTGATCTCGAGTCCTCTCCTCAAGGTCTCCCGGATCTGCTCTGTGTCTGCAACAACACCACTAAGTTGCCCGGTGGCCCAGTGGGCTCCCAGCAACTCTCACCCTGCTCTTAAAACTTGGCTCAGCAGAGGTGCTAAGAAAAACTACCACATTGGCCAGTCCTGAGCCCACTCTAGGCATCCAGATGTGAGTGCTGAGTGAGTACAGATTGCGAGGGGACAACCGTGCTCTTAAGAAGCTCTAGGTTGGAAGAGTGCCATTCTTGTAGAATCCAGGGGCAGCCTCTAGAGTTCAGAAAAGCACTCTCCACCATCGTTTTCCTTCCTGTGTCACAGGCCCGAGGTTTACCCTTAACGTGGCTCCACACAGTGACTGATTACTGGGGATTCTGCCCACTGAAATGGATGTGAGTGAAGGCTGCAAGTGCCCTGCCATGAATGGGCAGGTGCCTCTCACACACCTTTCTGGGTTCTGGGTGGTCAACTAGCATCTGGTCTTGCCACCCCTTCCCCTTGCATTCAAGTCAGTGAGACGAGATCATCCCTCCACCTTGGTCTATCCCAGGAAACTCTGCCTCTCCATGGAGAGGCAAGGGCCAGGAAGTGAAAGAGTTCCCTTGGTGGGATTATTTCTTTGTAAGGTGCTTTGCTGGTCTTTGGGATGAAGCTTACTAGTCTGGTCCCCTGTACTGAGATTTGGATCCAAATTTATCTCTGCAAACTGTAAACAGATACAAAAAAGCAAATTAAAGTTAGTTGCTCAAAGAGTGGTCTTAGAGTGGAAAGGAGATGATTACTAACTTTTCTAACGATCTGACTTGTTACAGTAGGATGGATTAATTTATAATTTTTAAAAATAGCCAATAATGACTGAAATTTTAGACAAGACTATGACTCCCTCTTTAAATCAACCTCATTTGGTTGTCAAAAGCAACCAAATGATTCCAATAACTGTATACCCTGTCTTTGAGCCTCCAACAGACTTGGCATGCCATTAAAACAAACAGGAAGGAAAGAAAGGGCTCGGCTGGGTGAGGTGGCTCACATCTGTAATCCCAGCACTTTGGGAGGCTGAGGCGGGTGGATTGTTTTCAGCTCAGGAGTTTAAGACCAGCATGGGCAACATGGCGAAGCCCTGACTACAAAAAATACAAAAGTTAGCTGGGCGTTGGTGGCTCATGCCTGTAGTCCCAGCTACTTGGGATGCTGAGGCTGGAGAATCACTTCAGCCTGGGAAGCGAAGGTTGCAGTGAGCCAAGATCAAGCCACTGTACTCCAGCCTGGGCAACAGAGACCCCTGTTTCAAAGAAAAAAAAAAAAAAGGGCTCAAATATTTGCACTAGGGGTTTAAGTTTGTCCTTTACAGAACGAACAAAAACCTTTTGTAAGTGTTATCATATATGTAAGGATTTTATTCAGGGCTGTAGACATCTTATTCTTCAAAAAAAGAAAAGATGGAAGAATGAAGAAAGGAAGTAGACAAAGAAGCTGTCAACACATGTATATGTAAGTGGCTGCTTTTCCTTTGCAGTTAGTTGGGGACGCCCTCTACTAAAAACCACAACTGTTTCTGTAGCCAAGATCAGCATAGGGAGATTCCAACAGGACAGCCACATCCTCCTTCCCAAATACCCCATCCGGAATGCAGTGGGTCCAGAGGCCCTGCCCACAGCCCTAACCCTGTATCTGTATGACAGGAGGTGGGCAATTTGCAAGCTGGCCTCACACTCAGGCCTCTCTTGTTGAAGGCCTGGGAGGGCCCAAGGCCAGAGTGATCCTTGGATCTGGCATGGCCTTCAGGCCAGAGCTGGGCCCTGTGTCAATTCCGTGGGTGGCCGACACTTTTCTCTTGCACTTGGGTGGACTATGGACTTTTCCTGTAACTGTTCTAAGGCTTCCACTCACCTCCATGACCTCAGATTGCAAGGGACAAATCTAAAACACAATGGTGCCTGCTGGTGATGCATTTGAAATACACACAGGAAACACAACTAGAAATGGGCCAATAAAGCTCCCTTAATTCCACCCTGCTGGAAGACTTCACTTGCTGTTTAAATCATGCCAGGAAATAAACTATTGAATGGGTTGTTTTTGTTAGAGACCCATCCTAGAGAGCCTGGAAACCAGGCCCTGGGGAAAAGGAAGGAGGAAGGCTGGGGGAAGGCTGGGTGTTGGCTCCCACCTTTGCCAGAGAGTCGCCGGGGCTGTGTGCCGATGCAGATGCTCCGGCTGTCCTCGTCATCCTCGGGAGGCCGGCTCAGGTCGTCCCAGGCACACTTGGCACTGACACCACTCAGGTTGGAGCCATCTGTCTCGATGCCTTTGTCAACTCTCTCCTGCTTGAAAAGAACCAAAGAGCCAGAGTTCTTTCAGAGAACTGGTGGCCCAAGGTGACCACTCTTCCAGCCACCACTCTTACAGTATTTACTGAGCCCTTGTGGTACTGAGCATGGGACAAATGCTGGAAGAGCAGGATCTCTGACCTTGTTCTGCCCTGGTTACCAATGCATGATGGTCTCTACCAGCTCTTGGACTCCTCCAGGGGAACCAGGGATTAGGGGAAGCCGGGAGGAATGCAGATCCCAAGGGAAGCATCTCTTCTACCATCAGCCTTCCAGTACAATGGCCTCTACCTGTGTCAGAGCCCCCAACCTGTCTCTGCCAGGCTGGCTGGTGGAGCTGATGTGGCCATGAGAGAGCCTACTTCTCTGAGGAGAGGCGTGATCCTTCCTCTCCTCCCGATCTTCAGGCAGAACCTCTCAGTGACTGCTATAGAAGACAAGGTGGAAGCCTGCCACAGGCGACAGGCAGCACCTGCAGTTTCCCCTTCTAACAGCTAGAGGGTGTGGTCACACAGGGAAGAGCCACAGGAGAGCAGAAGGCTGGACTTCCCCTAGATGCATGGGTTCCCTTGTTTGGCAAAGGACTCTGGATGGAGATTCCCTCCCATTTCTTAGACTGAGATGGGGGCCTGGAGTGCAGTGACTATCTGCAGACACCCTTCTCTCCCCATCGAGACCCTACCTTTCTACAGGCCTTGGTATTGCTGGGTCCAAACACTCTCCAAATGGCCTCAAGGAAGAGTTGTACTTAAAACATCCCTGGATTTTCTGGTAAAACACCCTTCATTGATGCTGGACCTTGAACTAAAAGTCATCTATGCCCATGTGGGCCAAATCAAGCTTGTGACTGAGCACCTCAACAAGAATCTGTGCTTCCTGGCTCTACGGGTGCCACACTGGCCTGCCGATCAGCCCGGGAGCCCCATCTGGGAGAAGTACAGGTACTGTCCTTATTTCCCGGGACCAGTCAGCAAGTGGCTGTGCCCCAGATGCCTCCTTCCCATCAGTCATCTCCTCCTTTCAAGTGCTAATGGTGGCCTGGGCAAAGCTGTGGGTTCCGAGCAGGAAGAGGCTAAGCAGGCAAGCGCTCTGTGTACTCCGGGCGGGGAGTGTGTATACTCTGGTGTGCTCAGGGGATAGTCTGAGCTTTTTCCTCTCCACTGGCTGCCCTGGGGTCCCTCACTTAGTTAAAGAGTTGCAGACAGACAATTCTTGGCTTAACTTGTCTGGGCCATTTACTTTATAAGTAAAAAGAAAATGTTAAGATGCAGAAAGGTGAGGGACTTGTTTGGGCACACAGCTGGTTAGCCTAGAGCTTGGATCACAGGAATATACGCCAGCTCTAAATGGACTGATAGCAAGCAGGCTCCTGAAAGGCACAGTGAATACAGAGGAGTTCACACTTGGTACACAGAGCCGCCAGGAAGGAAAGCTGTCCTTTCTCCCTGTGGGACCCTGGGTCCTGTGGGCTGCTCTCAGGGGAGCCTGCAGACTAGGAAGGAGAATAGCTCTTGGCATGGAAGGACAGCTGTTTACCCTTCTAGTGCAAAGGACCAGGTTCTTTCTTAGTACTTGGCACTTATGATAGGGTCCAAACAATGGCCCACAGTGCCCCATGCTGGATCCCAGTGTGGCTACAGAACAAGGGCTTAGGGAAGCATAGCCTTCCTGGTTCCTGGTTTTCGCATATGCAGAAGATACAAGGAAACCAAGTTTAAAGTAGAGAGAATAGAGGATCGTGGCAGCAGTTTGAAATGTTCAGTGTTAAAGGCACTAGGAAAACAGAGGAGCATCATCTGTGAATGAATAGGATTTATGCCCAAGAACTCACAAATCTACAGTGAAGAACTCAGGGGCTGCTGGCTACATGTCCAGCTGCCACCTCTCTCTTTCTCTAACACATGGAACTTGCGGCAACTGCCTGTGGCTTACCAGATTTTTTACAGAAGCATGACAGGCTTAGAGATGGCAATGACCTGAATTTGGTCAGGGGAGTAGAAGGAACCAGACACGTGGCAGGTAACATTATTAGCTGTCTGTGGCTTCTGCTTCAGGAGAAGCCCATAAGAAAGGCAGTTATAGGCCGGGCGTGGTGGCTCACACCTGTAATCCCAGCACTTTGGGAGGCCGAGGCAGGCGGATCATCTGAGGCCAGGAGTTCGAGACCAGCCTGACCAACATGGTGAAATGCTGTCTCCATTAAAAATACAAAAATTAGCTGGGCGTGGTGGCGGGCGCCTGTAATCTCAGCTACTCGGGAGGCTGAGGCAGGAGAATTGCTTGAACCCAGGAGGCAGAGGTTGCAGTGAGCTGAGATTGCGCCATTGCACTCCAGGCTGGGTGACAAGAGTGAAACTCCGCCCCCACCAAAAAAAAAAAAAGGCAGTTACGTTCTTGTGGCTTTCTAAATTTACCTGCATGCCAAAGGAATGCTTCTAAAACAGCAAAGATAACACTGAAACACTGTCCAGGTGGGCCACAGGGAGTGGGCAGCTGCCAGCCTGTATGTCTAAGGTGCCAACCTTTCCAGGCTAGGAGCTCTGCGTCTGACTGTCCAAGATAGAAAATGTGGCGAAAACGGGGATGGGACCATTAGACCAATCAGCACTCACTCCTGAAGCTGGGCCATGGAGTCAGTATCACCTACACCACTGTCTGGTACAGGGCCGTGGTGGCCATGGTGGCTCCCTAAAAGAAAGTCTGGGAGGCAAGAGAATGAATACTGGGCAAACAAGCAATATCCACTACACTTATCTTTTATTGCTGGCGATCTAATTTTTTAAGCCAATATGTAATTTACATACAATAAAAATATCCTTTTAAAATGCCAAAATACGTATGTCTGAGGACTAGCTTTCCTGGGCTGAAATCTCTGTTCCCTATGTGCTCTGCAGAATTCAGGGGACAAGTTCCAAATGATGCCAAATTTCTACTCACTCACACACAAAGCTCCTCCATTTTCCCAGGATGAAAGCCAGTGTTATTTGGAAGAGGCCTAGGCACAGGTTACTAGAAAGGTTTTCCTCACTCAAGACATACTTGCAGGTGTGGATCAATCTCAAATATGGTCTCTCCTCTCCGCATGTCAGTTATCAGCCAGGGGCCACCAGCACTGTGGACAAGGAAAGGGGATACAATGGTAACTGAGGATCTGGGGCTGATGGGCTGGGCCTACAGCCTGCCCTGTTTGCTGCCCCAGGCCTAGGACACAGGGGAATAGTTTGTGGTCAGGGACTGTCAGGGAGTGAGTTGTCCGGAAGCCCTGATGTGAAAAACCAGGGCCTGAAATAACAATGCAAGAGGGAGCCCCACATGGAGGGTGGTGGAGGGACTCCCATCCCCAGGCCCAGGGAGCCGGGCTCCCACCTTGCATGGGTACTCACACAGGTACTGTCCGCAGCAGCTCCAGGATGCCCTGCCCGTTCCACTGCTGGGCTGAGTGTAGCTCTTCAGTGCAGACGCCAACGATCTGAGGCCCAGGATAGAAAGCCACTGTGTGTTAATGGCAGCTCCCCACCCCACGAAGGTCAGTTACTCAGGCTCTCTGAGTCACCTCCAGTTGGGAGACCACAGGCAGGATCTGTGCTTAGGAGCTGGTGCAGCCAAGATGGGATGGTTCCCTTAGGAGGGAGTGGCTGCCTGGCTGGTAAATGGCTGGGTCCACTGGTGGGCCCTGAGGCCTGACCCTTGCCTTTGCTGTGTCTGGATGATACCAAGTCTAGCTCTTGGCTGCAAAGGAGAAAACCAAGGCCTGAGCAACTCAAGATGTGTCCTCAGGCCATGTCTCTGGAAGTTGGGGAGGTTCAGGGAGCCATTCCTACCCAGTCTGGTATCACGGGGAATGTAAACAAGAGACTTTGAGACCTATCAGGCTTGGAACCACCACCAATAGGTCCTAGCAGCTTGCAGAGAAACTCCTCCCTTCCTTATTAGGGGATAGGCCTTTGTGTAAATATCAAAGGAATCAGTGGAACCTTCACATAGACTTCATCGTGACCAAAAACAAACACTGGTCAAAGCTGGGCAGGTTACCACAGCTTCTGGGAAACAGCAAGGATGACCCAGAGCTGGCTTCCTGCTAGAAAGTCCTGTTCCTGAGACTGGGTCTTCACTGTTCACAGAATACCTGCCACCCCCATTCCTCCCTCTCAGCTACAGCCATTCTCTCCCACCCAAATGGCCCCTTCCCCTTCCCCCTTCTCCCATCTCAGCAGGTTAAATCAGACCATCTGAATCTACCTGACAAACCATCAGAGGAAACAGAAATCAGGAGGAGGCCAAAGGAAACCTCCCACTCCCTTCACTCCCCTTCCTGAAGCCTCCCTATCCTCCCAGGACTCTTCCTACAGGAAGGCTTGAACCAGCATTCAACCTGTGCCTCACCTGGAGGAAGGTAACTACCCCAAAGGGTGTCTGCACGGGCTGCATCTGTGGGTCCTCTGTCAGCAGCATGTGCTGAATTCTTGACTCACTGTTATCCAAAGGGCTGTGCCAGGACACATGGTCCCCACTGCAGAAGGTGTTCTCTGTGGGAGAGACACAAGGATCCTCAGTGTTCAAGGCCTCAGATCCAGGCCTGGAATCTGGGCTGGGATCTCACTAGCACAGGCTGGGAGGCTTCCCAGCCTCTTAGGGTAGCCCCTGTGAAGGAAGAGAAGCATTCACTCCAGATGGAAGCAAAGAGCTTGTGGATATTTCCAAAAACCTAAATTGTTCCTGCTTGCCAATTCTGTCAGACTTAAATGGAAAAGGACAGGCTATTAGTGTGAAAGCTCCTTTGGCCTGGGAAACCCAAAAGACTTCTGGCATCTGCTTCATTTCCCCAATATCCCAACTCATGGTGGGAGGCAGGAGCCATGATTGGATCTGCCAAGAAAGAATAAGGTGCTTTTTTGTGGGGCCACCTGGCCAGAAGTCCACAGGGAGGCAACAGGGCAACGAAAGCCCTTCACCTTGGAGAAACAGACCGAGATTTCTGTGTTGCTGAAACGGCGCTCAGAAGGAAACATCCAACCTTGGAGGGCCTTTGAGATCTATCACCAGTTTCCACAGGTAGATGCAGGAATTCCTGAGGAACACTAGGCTTCAAGTAAATGGAGGTCTAGATAGTGCCTCCCGCACTGTGGCAGAGACAACTCATGAGGATCCTCAGGCCATGTCTCTGAGATGTTCAGATTCTGCAAAGGGTAGCTGTTGCTGCCAAGGGCACAGCCTCCTCACACACAGGCTCACCAATGCACTTCAAGCAGGCACATTACTTTAGAAAGAGTTTTGTTTAAGGCCACATAACCACAAGGGAAAACAACCCCACAGGGTACTAAGTCTCTCACTAGCTCTGACTCTCATCATGGGTGCCAAGGTGCCATGTATGACCAGCCTATGCATCCACAGGCTCCCTTGCATGTTTTGTTCTTACACAAATGGAAGCACACTATTCTGCAGATTTCACTTAATTATGTATCTTAGAGAGCACTTCTTTTTTTTTTTTTAATACGGAACACTTCACAAATTTGCATGTCATCCTTGCGCAGGGGTCATGCTAATCCCCTCTGTATCGTTCCAATTTTAGTATATGTGCTGCTGAAGTGAGCACGAGATCACTTTTTTTTTTTGAGACGGCATCTCGCTCTGTTGCCAGGCTGGAATACAGTGGCGTGATCTCGGCTCACTGCAACCTCCGCCTCCCGAGTTCAAGCGATTCTCCTGCCTCAGCCTCCCAAGTAGCTAGGATTACTGGCAAGCACCACCACGCCAGGCTAATTTTTTGTATTTTTAGTAAAGATGGGGATTCACCGTGTTAGCCAGGACGGTCTCGATCTCCTGACTTCATGATCCGCCCGCCTCGGCCTCCCAAATTGCTGGCATTACAAGCATTAGCCACCACACCCGGCCGAGATCACTTCTTTTCAGCACATGGAGAGCTATCTCATTCTTTAAATGGCTGTTCCAGAGTTCACTGTGGTCTGTCATTCATGATCTGGGAATCTCAACAGTTGAGGTACCTTCCTTCACTTTTTATCAATATTTGAGGTAAGGCAGAACACACACATACACACATACACACACCCATCTTTTCCATCCAGGATATGGCTCCAGTTATTGGTCCTAACCTCAGTGGTGTTCATTCAGGCAGGAGAAGGAAGACTGCTTCCTCTGAGATGTAATAATACAGAGGAGAGGAGAAGGCACGGCTCCAGGTACAGCCAACTAGAAACCCCTAAATTACCAAATTCCTGCTAGGCCCACTCTTCCCAGAATCCTCCTTTTATGTAAGTGTGTTTCTGCAAGCAGCCTTCATGTTCTACAAGTAAGAAACAATGCAGGCTGGGCGCAGTGGCTCACACCTGTAATCCCAGCACTTTGGGAGGCCGAGGCAGGAGGATCACGAGGTCAGGAGATCAAGACTATCCTGGCTAATATGGTGAAACCCTGTGTCTACTAAAAATACAAAAAATTAGCTGGGCGTGGTGGCAGGTGCCTGTAGTCCCAGCTACTCGGGAGGCTGAGGCAGGAGAATGGCGTGAACCGGGGAGGCGGAGCTTGCAGTGAGCCAAGATCACGCCACTGGACTCCAGCCTGGGCAACAGAGTGAGACTCTGTCTCAAAAAAAAAAAAAAAGAAAAGAAAAGAAAAAGAAACAATGCAACAGGTAAAAGGACTGAATAAGTAATTAACCCCCCAACAACAACATACACACATATAAACAATCCAGGCCCATCAGATGACTCCACTGGTAAATTCTGCCAAACATTTAGAAAAGAATTAATAGCGACTTTTCACAAACTCTTCCAAAAAATAAAAGAAGAAATACTTTCTAATTCATTCTATGAAACCAATATTACTCTGATATGAAAAGCAAAGGTTTAAAGGTTTAAGACAAGGAAAAAAAACCTATAGACCAATATACTTTATGCATATACAAACAAAAATCCTAAACAAAATACCAGCAAACAGAATCTAGCAACATATAAAAAGGGTTATACAGGCTGGGCGTGGTGGCTCATGTCTGTAATCCCAGCACTTTGAGAGGCCAAGGCAGGCGGATCACGAGGTCAGGAGTTCAAGACCAGCCTGGCCAAGACAGTGAAACCCCGTTTCTACTAAAAATACAAAAACTTAGCAGGACGTGGTAGAAGGCACCTGTAATCCCAGCTACTTGGGAGGCTGAGGCAGGAGAATTGCTTGAACCCAGGGTGGAGGTTGCAGTGAGTGGAGATCACACCACTGCACTCCAGCCTGGGCAACAGTGTGAGACTCTGTACTCTGTCTCAAAAAAAAAAAAGGTCGGTTATACACAATGACCAAGTAGAATTTATCCCAGAAATGCAAGGCTAGTTATACACAAGAAAATCCATGTAATGGAAGTTATTAAAAAAAACCACTCCATGATCATGTCAACAGACAGAAAAAGCATTTGACAAGATCCTTTTCATAATAAAAATACTCAGATTTGGAATAGATGCAACTTCCTCATCTTGATAAAGAGCATTAACAAAAAACCCCACAGCTAACATCATACTTGATTAATGGTAAGTAACTGAACTAATTCCCTCTACAATCAGGAACACAACAGAGATAGTTACTCTCGCCACTACTCTCGCCACTTCTGTTCAACATTGTATTAGAGTGCAAGCCAGGACAATTAGGCAAGAAAAATAAACAAAAAAAAAAAAGTCCAGGTGCGGTGGCTCACACTTCTAATCCCAGCACTTTGGGAGGTCGAGGCATGTAGATCACCTGAGGTCAAGAGTTTAAGACCAGCCTGACCAATATGGTGAAATCCTGACTCTTAAAAATACAAAAATTAGCCAGGCGTGGTGGCGTGCTCCTGTAGTCCCAGCTACTCAGGAGGCTAATGCAGGAGAATTGCTTGAACCTGGGAGGCAGAGGCTGCAGTGAGCCAAGATCACACCACTGCACTCCAGCCTGGGTAACAGAGTGAGACACCATCTCAAAAAAAAAAAAAAAAGAAGAAGAAGAAGAAACAAAATACATCCAGATTGGAAAGGAAGAAGTAAAACTGCCTCTATTCATGGATAGCATGATATTGTAATATAGAAAACCTTAAGGAATGTACTAAAAATTACTAGAACTATTAAACAAGTTCAGCAAGGTTGTAGGGTACAAAGCAATATGCAAAAATCATTTGTATTTGTATATACTAGCAAGGAACAATCCAAAAATAAACCTAAGGCCATGCATGGTGGCTCGTGCCTCTAATCCCAGCACTTTCAGAGGCTGAGGTGGGAGGATTGCTTGAGCCTGGCAGTTAGAGACCAGCCTAGGCAACATAGCAAGAATCCCCCATCTCCATACATACATACACAAATTAGCCAGGCATGGTAGTGCACACCTGTAGCTGCAGCTATCTGGGAGGCTGGAGCATGAGGATGGCTTGAGCCCAGGAGTTCAAGGCTGCAGTAAACTATGATCACACCACTGTACTCCAGCCTGGGCAACAGAGAGAGACTGTGTATCAAAAAAATAAAAAACAAAACAAAACAAAATAAAAAATGAAAGAAAGGCCAGGTGCGGTGGCTCAAGCCTATAATCCCAGCACTTTGGGAGGCCGAGACGGGCGGATCACGAGGTCAGGAGATCGAGACCATCCTGGCTAAACTGGTGAAACCCCGTCTCTACAAAAAATACAAAAAAACTAGCCGGGGCGAAGTGGCGGG